CCGCCTCTCGAAGTTATATTCAGCTTTGGCAATACGCTTTTGATTGCCGTCCAAGCAGGAAAATGTCTCACAGGCGGCGTCATCCAAAGACGACGAAGCTGTCACAGCTGCTGGGCTCTCCTCCACTTTCCTCCACATCAAGTTCTCTTCTTGCTTCTTCTGGAATTCTATAACATCTTCCACTGCCCTCTGCTCCGACTTCACGCGTTGTCTCTGAAAGTTTTCTGTTTCTGAAGGAATCTCTTTAAAAAAAAAAAATAAATATTCTCACAGTACCAAATAGGTCACGTGAATTTCTGGTATCGGAGGAAACTGCAAAAAAAATAAGGAACAAAAAACAACCAGAGAAAATATAAAGACACGAAACACATAAAAATTAGTATACAGTTAACACATTTCTAGTATACAGTTAAGGCTTTAAAAAAAAAAAAAAAAAACTGCAAAAAAACACAAGAAACAAAAAACAACCAAAGAAAATACAAAAAAAAAATGAAATACATAAAAATTCCGCGAACTCTATTGATGCTATTAGTAACTTCGCGCTGTGTCTTTTCAGAAGCTTTGTAAATTAGTGCATCAATCCACTACTGCGTTTTTTTTTTTTCGAACCAAACACACGGATTTATACGTATCCTGCTCGATGAATAAATGCATAATATGAAAAAATTTAGGCAATTTGTATGGAAAAAAATTTGAGCACCCAAATAATTCAGGGCAGATTTGTTTCGATAAAAACAGTGCATACCTTGCGTTCATGTTCAGAAGCTGCTTGCAACTGCAACATACCATCGAAAAATGATCCTTCCGGAGGTTTATTTCGTTCGTACAAAAATTCCTGAACTATCTGGCAAAGCTCCAGGATAATTTCCTGAAAATTTTTACAGCGAAAATATTGAATTGCCCGGAAAGTGAAGAAAGGAATTATTGTAAAAATGGAAATTTCTAACATTGCCACTAAGCATCATCGCTTTGTTGTCCAGTGTCTGTTTCAGCTTTTCAACATCTTTTCGTGCAACGCCTTTCACATTTTCCAGTAGTAACAACGGAGTTCTGAAAAAAAAAAGGGAAATTTAAAGAAATCAACTCAAATTTAGCAAATAAGAAGATATAAGTGAAGTGTGTGACTACACAACAGTGGTGGTCTCTGTCGGTTTTTCGGTCTGGTTAAGTCATAAGTCAGAATCAAAGCCCTTCATAATCCTCTTTCCCATTCCCTCCCTGCCCCCCCCCC